TGATGGAATCCATAGTACAAGGAAGGATTTAAAACTGTTACGCACGACAAAGCTATGAAGGGTTAGAGAGAGTTTCCCATCCCACTTCCTGGCATATACGTAAATAAGAGGAACCTTAATTGAGCCAGTCACAATTCTGGGAATATTCATATTGACATCTTTCTATAAGCGCGGACTAGTTAGCTGTACAACCGTGACATACTACATCGGCATACTAAAGGCTTGGACGAAAAAAAATACTTTCCAAAATAAGACGGGAAGTATAAATTTAAGGCCCCTATAAACATTGATTCTGTTAGAGACATTACTAGATTGATGGTTAAGATTACTGTTTCAGGACATATCAGATGTTAGAAGTGTTAGATGTGACCTGTTCAATTATAGATGTTCCAAGAGAGAGGAGGGTGAATTTGGGGAAATGCTTGGTAGAAAAACACATCTCCTTTGTCTTAGAAGGATTTAACCCCATTAACCATGTATTAGACAATTTTTTAAATCTTTTAAGTTCACCTCTGCGGCAATCCAACTAGCTGATGATCAGCAACATCGAAAACAACTAAAACTCAATCGTGAAGCTGCTAACAAAAATAGTAACAATCATATTCTTTCTACATACATTGGGCATGGATCAGCCTACTAAGACTAAGCAAAGCGTTTGTATTTCTGTCAATATTTATGGGTTCACCACACCACGAAGTGGTGGTGAACCCATATTGCTTTTTCTGATGTTTCTTCTTCTCCTCCTTCTCCTTCTTCTCCTTCCATTTTTTAAATGGATTCAGCTTCTTCATTTTAGGGCCTAAGGTCCTGAAATTTGGTATGGAGGTACAGTGGGCAAATACCCCTAGGCGTTTTTTTAAATTTTTGTGATACAAGCTTTTACAATCGTTTTATTTGCTTTTTTAGCGGTCCCCATAGGAAAGTACTGTGGGGGCGTACGCGCGTGACGTAATAAGAAAGGAATTCGGCGGTATGCCCATATATGGGCATGCAAGCATGAACCTGACGCAGACCAATCTATTCTTCTTGCTGATTGGCTGTTGGATTTGATTGGATTAACTCAATTAACACCTGTTCAAAGCCATTCCATTTTGACAGTATGAACTCAAGTGTTTTGGTAGGTACAGCACAGGCCACGAAATACGCATCGATTTTCGAGGGACGTTCTGCGGGAGAGTGCAGGACGCTGTGCGGGACTTCCCTCGGGAGAGTGCGGGACGTCCTCCGGGAGAGTGCGATACGTTCTGCGGGAGAGTGCGGTACGTCCAGCGGGAGAGTGCGGTACGTTCTGCGGGAGCCAGACATTTTGCTCTTCTCTGTTGGAACAACGCAAGTTGGAGGTCAATGACCTGCGCCCGGCGTGTAAACAAAAAGTTACGCGGTACGTAATGTGTATCGTCGGCGCGCGCGCCACGGTATCAACAATTTTCCGCAATCTTTACCAACTAGTATTATCTAGGTTCTGTTATCGATCTCCGAAGAATCACCAAAATTGTAGAGTGTACAGGCGTTCGTTTGTTCTTGCTGAGAACATCGCGAGACGGCTTCCTGGCGAGCGTCCAGGGCTTGCATGCCCGACAGTTTTCGAAGATTGGACAGGGAGCGGCTGTAATATTAAAGGAGCCGGCGGCTTCTGCTAGCCGGGTTGATAGTTAAGTAACATCAAGGTGGTTCAAAAGCAAACCTGATAAAGAAGGAAACCCCGTAGTTAATAGTTGAAAGTCTTGGTGCCTTGAAGCGATCGATACCGCCATGCTGTTTACTTTTTATGACGTCGACATACAATGCAGTGAGTGATGTGTATCGCACCGAGTTAGCTCGGTTGGAAACGCGCAAGGCGGCAATCCCAGGCATTGCAAGTTCGAACCCCAGTGCATCGGACATTAATATTTTTAACAATTTAACATTTTTAACAACTTTATCATTTTTAACAATTTTATCAGTTTTAACAATTTTAACAATTCTGCATTTTAACAATTTCAACATTTTTTTTTATTTTCGTTGTTTTGCTTTTAACATTCAAAAACTGATTGTTCTTACTCAAGAATGTCAATAACTTAGAATGTTAGTCTTTTGTATTTTTCCAACATACAAACTAAAATCACTTTGATGTTGTCACAAAAGTATTGAGCTGACAAGAGAGAAGGAGTACGGTACTCTGCCAGTGTGAAGAATCTACAGAGGTATTACCAGTCACTAGTAGCAAGAGATAGACCACATTGAATGATGACGATGAGGACGAATCATATGAAGTACTATCATAGCTAGTACAGAAATTCTACTGCTTTACTTTACTTTCTTTCACTCTGTACATGCAATTAGCTCACTGGCATGATTTTAAAAATAAAGGTTATGATAATCATATTATATGCATAGCTTATTCAATGTATGGCTTCATAGTTTATGTGATTGTTAATAACACCTGCACAGAGCATTTCCATACTGACAGTATGTCTTTATTCAAGTGTTTTGGTAGGTATTTCCATCCTCCTTCGCAGGGCTAAAATCCTCCGGTTCCCTTCCGGTTGACGTCACCGCCAAACTGCTGTCAGCCAATCAGAGAATTTGCGCACCGAGCTTTGCGCAAAAACCGCAAAGGTCGCTGGGAACCTATTAGCCAATCAGGTTACGTCTTACATTCCCATGTTGGGACAGGCCAAGATGGCGGCTATTACAGATACTAGAAGTTTCGTGCGAGCCGTGCAAGAGTCGAGCCGTGCAAGAGTCGAGCGGCTTCGTGAGCATCAGCAGTCGATGCTACGGGCGCTGCTTGATGGCAGAGACGTTTTTCTGAGTGTGCGGACAGGAGGAGGGAAGAGCCTGTGCTATATGGGCTTCCCAGCAGCGGCCAAAGCCCTGGCCAAAGCCGAGACAGAGTTAGGGCAAGCCCCCCGACATCTGATTGGTTTGTGCCAAATAAGGCAAGCTCATGAATTATTTATAAGTGACGTCACCAGAAGTCAAACTGTCAGCGGTAAATAGCAGGGCTAAAACCGGAAGGGAACCGGAGGATTTTAGCCCTGCGAAGGAGGATGGGTATTTCAAGCTTTTCTGCTCCAGCATTGGAATGCGGGGCATGAACGTTTTTTTTTTTATTTTGAAAATCAACAGTTTGCATTATGCAATTAAAAATCCTAACCAGTAAAGTAGGGAATAGCTATCCAACTGTTGTTTTAGTTGTATGTTACTTCATATTATAGTTATATCAATGTAAATCATTGTTTTCCCTTGTGTTTCTCATTCTTTCCCTGCCATGTGGTAAAATGTGGTGAACCCATGGCTGTATTTGCTCCAAAGCAAATATTGGCCTTTCTAGTTTTGTTTGATCTTTCTGGTGTTACCCCAGATGCTCATTACCAACTCCACAGTATCAAATTTCTTCTTCGTCTTACCTTTCACAATCAAAACAGCACAAGTCAGGTATCTTTCGACGGCACACGAATTGATCATACTTTTACATCCATACAGCACATGATGCACGGTTGCAGGCTTGGTCCTACCTGCACAGACACAGATCTCCAGGAGGCCAATGAAGCAGAGCGGAACTGGCTGGAGTAGATTGGCGACAAGCTATGATGATCCATACAGTTGTCTCTTGCCTCCTTCACAATCTTGCGGTCAGAAACGAGCACATTACGAGCTGCTTGTAGCGGACGAGGTGTTCGTGGACGACGTAACCGATCAATTGGTCAGCGTTTAGATTCCTCCAGGCGGTCAAGATCGACTCACGTTGTTGATAGTTGACCGTGCGTACGAGCACGGGGTGGTTGGTTCGTGCCTTCAAAGTTGGTTGATATTGTCCGTTGTTGTCGGACAGTCCGATGTAAGGTTTTGTTCACTTTTTTGTACAGATCTGGTAAAGTCTTATTAGCCAGTTGCTGAGCAGAGCTTGTTAGGTCGTGGTGGAGGTGCCCTTTGGGTCACCACCAGCGGTCCCAGAGGAAGCACCGGTATCAGATTGTTGTTGTGACATACTCACAACACCAAACAAGACTGTAAGACAAGTCAAAAACCGCGCTGCTTTGAGCGCACAAAGAAAACAAGCCTACCTCCTCAGGCGAGCTGTGATGGAAGAGGACCCGGATGTGCGCGGTACTGCGCATGTTCCTTTTAGTTTAGACTGTAAAAAGCTGCCTCCTAGCGGTTGCGTTGGGAACGCCATATGTTTCGGAGATTGTGAAGGATAATTAACAAGATCCAATGGTCAAGGTCAAAAGTAAACTTGTCACATTTCATGACGTGTTACATTGCATCAACAGCTAAACTTTACACTTGCACAATAAATGTACATGACAAATGTTATAACGAGATACATAATAAAGGTTGACAATGTAAACAATGCATTTATCATGACAAGGGCAAATGATATAATGAGATACATAATGGTTGACAATGTAATTTATCATGACAAGGTCAGCATTTTTCAAGGTCAAGGGGTGTCTTGAGTAAACATGCAATGTACACAGTAATCAATGTATTCAGTTTATTCAGTATTCAGTTTATGACACAACTTTTTAAAACAACTTTTTGCCAAAAACAGACTTGCTTTACTTATCTATTTAACTTCTCCATCTCAACAAACTCATTCCTTAGTGGCACTGGCTGCACAACTTGTCAACTTTACGTCTGTCCTCCACCATCCAGTATCTTCCTCCACTTATTGGCGTGACATCTACATTCGTCAACACAAAACTCTTCTCCACTGGTCTTATATCAGCCACATCTGGGAGTTGGTACATTCCTCCTGAAAAGCCAATTCTTTTATTAAAAGAAACTGAGTTAGCCCCCGGCCATTAGAAGCCTAATGCCAGTCAGCCACTACCTTGACACACTGCGCCTTAGATTCGTATCCCTTACTTCTGAAGAACTGGGCTACTGCATGGGACAGAAGCTTTTCAGCGTCAGAGACTGACTGCTTCCTGAGACCAACAAGAGCTGCATATGTCAGGTCTGTGTCTTTGCTTCTCATGGCCTCTTCAAACCTCCTGACATTGATGTCGTCATGTCCGCCGTCTCTCGTGTGCCATATGCTTCAGCATGTGATTGTGGTCTTCCCTCTCATGGTGCTCCCTGTTGGTGATGGGATCTACTTCTGGCACATACAAGTACTTCGTAAAGTCCGCTCCCTCCTGTTTCAGCTGGGCTACTCTTGCACGGAACCGGAATGTTGCGATGATGGAACGCAGCTTGTCCAGTTCCGTCTCAGGGATGTGAGGCCGCCATGTATGGTACGTGTATCCCTCCGGAATTACATCTTTACGTACATGATGAAGTGCATCTTCAAAAGTCAAGCCGTCTTCTTGCAGAAGATGCATTTTTCTCTTGACTTCCTCTGGTACACAGTTTTCTGCTGGTGCACGTGGCTGGGCGAGGTCGTCATCTAGGGTGAGAAACAAGGCACATCGCCACAGTGAACATTCTGCTCTAAAACTTTATCTGGTAATGGCAAAAATGTACAATAGAGGTATTTCATTCATTCCCTTACAATACGCGAAGGAGCATAAAGAGAGCATTTGCATAATTTAAAAGAACAGAGCATCAAGAAATAAAATCAGTTTGTCGATCTTACCATCAATCTGCAGCATCTTCGCTAGAGTTGCCTTACTCATCCTGGACACACTTTCTCTTGCATCATGGATGAGCTGCCAAAGATGAAGGGGTCGGGTGTCGCCTTGTGTTCTCAGGGTGGAGAACTCCCCATCAGTGACAGTTCCTAAATGGCAAAAAGCATAAGGCTGAGGTAAAAAAATGGTCCCTCTCAGCCTCAGGTTTCGATGAGCAATTTTTATAATAATTGGAATATTTAAGAAAGGCCATTACATACCCGGGCCTTGATAACTTTTTTTAGGTTTAGGGACACCAAATTTTCACTCATTTCGCATTCAAAGGCATGTTTTCTTGGTTTGGCATGACATATCACAGAATGTAAATATATATTTGTATTATATCAAACGATATATGGAATATTCAGACAGAAGAATTTTTACAAAAAACAACACGGTGTATTCCATATCGCCCAAGGTATCAGCGCGATCGCGTCGGATCGCCTGACGGCCCGTGCTTCCATGGGTTCCATCATCATCATCATCGGACGGCTGCGGAGCAGGCGATCACAAGTCCATTCCACGTCCGTCGGGTTCCATAGAACTTTGTAACTTTACTAGCTTAACTAACTTTACTAACCTATGTAACTTTACAAACTTTACTAACTTTACTAATATTACTAACTTGAGTACCGGGCTGGTACCTTGGGCAATATGGAATACACTGGGTTGTATTCTATATTAATTTGATATGACTATTCGAGTCAGGAGAACCAACAGATAACATTGGTTTGGCCTCATTATGATTCTTCATTGATCTCAAAACTTTTTGGACATCACATTTACAGTCAATGTTTCAAATAAAGACACAAAGAGCTTACCAACAGGTACAAGTCCATAGAATGCCATCCTTTCCTTCAGTGTCTTTGTCAGGTCTCGGATATACTGCACGGCCGTTCCGAAATGCCGGAAATCACGAACGTTCGGTTCGCGCAGGCGCACTATGGTACGCCGCGTGTTCTGGACCCCTGGGACGCCCAGAAAACAACGGGTCCACGCACATTTACAGCTGAATTGCAATATGACGCCAGCTGAATTGCACAAACGAAGCTTGCTTTCTGAGTTGTAATAACTTAAATGAAATAAAACTATCTGATAGTAATGCATGTGAAATTGATAATATCAAGTATGAAAACGTCCGTCCGCTTTTAAAAATCTTCTCTTAAATACTGCAGCGCTATACAAACGTAGCGCATTTAAGAATATATTTGCGTATATAAGGATTTAATCCTGTACAATTGTCTCTATGCGCATGTGCCTGTAAGAAAATCGTATGCAACACATGAGATTTTAGTACAACGTTGACCGACACGCCAACGTTTAGCGTGTTAACGTCTTTTTTAGCATCGAACATCAAATTCTGCAAAATCTGTGTAATACGCACCAATTACTCTCAGTTCAACGCGAGAATGAAGACGCGCAATACATAGAAATAAACTGAGTACACAATTATTTGGAGTATCAGGTAGCTCAGCTGATGTAATCAGGTCATTCGGTCAAGGGTCAAAGGTACTTAGTTACCAGGGACGCTACGTACGATAGTCATCAAGACAGTAGAGACCCACACAGCACGGCTGATAACAGAATGGAACATGAAGGTTGAGGAGACAAAGACTAAAGTAATGATATTCAAACCCCCACATTCAACAGTAACAACACCTGACTACATCAAGGTGAACGGTAAACATATGGAAGTTGTCAAGGAAACCAAGTTGGTGGGGATAACACTGGACAATGAGCTCACGTTTGGTACCCATATCGCCAACACGCAAAGGAAGGCCTACAAGGCGCTGAAAGCAGTGGGACTAGTAACAGACGCCAAGAAAAACCCAAACCAAGAAGAACAACTATACAAAGCTCTGATCAGACCGATCCTCGAATATGAAGTTGAATGCACAGTGAAAGCGGGGAAAAACATGATCAAGCGTACACACCTATTCAGAGAAAGGCACTACTAGCAGCAACTGGGTGTAAGCAGAGAACAAGCACAGAAGCATTGAACTGGTGGGTGATACAAACAAAAGTGCAATGATTAAAGAAACAGATTTTTGTCAATTACAGTGATTAATTCCTACATAGACAGCAAATAACTTGTACTGTATGTTAACACATGGAGTTTAAAACTTTTTTGTCAGTTTTTCATTATAGGGTACGTAAAGTGTACGTATCTTACAAACCTATGTGTATTAAATCTCCTATGCAATGACTCAAGAGACTGATCAGATTTCTTCAAAGGAAATCATCTCAAGTCCCTGCCTGGGGAATAAGCCATTATGCCCCCCACCCCACCCCTCAAAATTACAGGGGCAATAAGAAAAGCAGAATTATTCTGAAATATCCTTTTTTTCAGCCGATCACGTTGCTTAAGGTAAGCAAGGCCAGGAAGCCAACAGGAGAAGCAAGTACCAAGACAGGACAAAGGAGGACAGGTGAAGTCAAAGCAGTGAGGGAGATAGTCAGTGGGGGCGATACTGATGGCCAGATGGGGCTCAAAATGAAGTCTCTAGGGAGGGAGGCTCTGCAGAACATACTGAGACAGATGGATCTCTCGGCCATTCAGATACCAACAGGACATCTCCTTTCAGCACAGCTGGACATTGGAATCAACTATAACCAGTGTCGCAAACTCCGCAGGTTTGTGCAGCTTTACAATAAAAGAAGGTATAGATCATAAACACACTACAGAGGTAGCTAAACATGTAGCAATACTGATATTGTATACAAAAAGGCCCATTCCATGAAATTTATATATCAATGCATTACAATAATAATACTGCTGAAGTAGCTTGTTATACATCTCTAATTCTAAAGGTGGCTGAAACAGCACCTGGTGTCAGTGGAGAGTGAGCAGGAGAGTGGCAGGTGAGATGCTTGCCAGCAGGCAGGTTGTGTCAGAGATGCTCCCCCTGGACAAAAGATCAAAGAAAAGAGGTGGCTGCTAGACCGTGTGCGTATGTCAGTTGTCTGGAATCTGCCGTTCTAGACATTCTGACCAGAAATGCCACTGCAGGGTAAGTAAATTATATATACCTTCAAATTCATTATATCTATGTGTATGGAGAACTTTACATGATGATGATGATGTGTATGGAGAACTTTATATGTAATAATTCAAGAAAAGTTTTGGTGCTGCATACATGTGTATGAAGGACTGTCAATTATTTCAAGAAATGTTTTTTCTGCATGTACATATGCAGTATTATAAAAAAATAACAAAAGACATGGTTCAATTATCTCACATAAAAATGAATCTTTAAAATACAATGTTAACTTTCTCTCTTTAGTCATAAGATCTTTAAGAAGTAAGAGGAGAACTTAGACACCTAATGACTACCCACCTCAGCCAGTCATCCCACCCCAGCCTGTCATCCCACCTCAGCCTGTCATCCCACCTCAGCCTGTCATCCCACCCCAGCCTGTCATCCCACCTCAGCCTGTCATCCCACCCCAGCCTGTCATTACATCTGTCCCTGCTACATGTTTACCAATACTTTATCCATGTGGAGTGTGTCAAAAGGATTGTGTGGAAACTCCCCATCAGGACATAGAAATGAGTGTTGAGTGTTCCTCCTGTAAAGGATGGTTTCACTTTGCATGTTGTAATATCCTTGGCAACGAGCCCTTTCTATACAATAAAAGGTACAAGTGGCACTGTAATTCATGTTAAAATAAGTAGTTACTTTTTCTTTATAAGTACATGTATCAAGTAACGTACAGAGTGCTCACAAATTGTGAAATTTAGAAAGGTCAAATTTATCCACAAAAATTCTTTACATGCTTGTTAAAATTGTAGCAGCTAAGTGATTAGTAATACTTATAACCTTAATTCCCATATTGCAGCTTCTGAATGTGAATTACTGAGCACCTGCATTACTGTTAGATATCTGTTATACTACTATAAATGTCAATCTTAATATATTGACTATTGTGCATAAATCAAAATCAGTGATAAATCTGTGAATCATTTCCATTTTGCCAATGAAAAGGCATTGAAAAGTTTTTTTTCTTCGAATCACACCCTATAAATATATGTTGTTCATCTCACTTTAGTAGGGGTGGCTGTAAATTCACTAGTGCACCACATGTTATCAAAACATTGTCCAGGATATTTAGCATGTCCATTGGGAACTGACTCGAAAGTATACGGAATTCCTTGATTCGCCCTATCACTCTTTCAACATGTATACGAGCATTAGCTACATGCTTCGTCTTTATGTTATCTTTCACTGATAGCTGTGCTTTCCCCTTACGCATGAAAGGGGGGGATCACCAGCTGCACCCCCTTTGCTGCCAACAAATCCCGAATGGTGAACCCCCTGTCAGCCATGCAAATGTCCCCTGCTTGAAACTTGTCAACAATTGATGACTTCTCCACCAATTTGTTTGTCTGACATTGCC